AAATATTGAATTGATGCCTATAATTTGAAGTTCCAGAACAGTCATAACTACTTCGTGGGGAGAGAAGTCAGAACAGTGATTACCTCTGCGGGGGTAGGGGCCTGCCACTGGCCAGAAGGAGCCAAAACAAACTTTCTGGGGTGATGAAAACATTCCATAGCTTGGTTGTGGCAGCGGTTACAGCCGTCTTCTCAAAACTCATCGAACTGTGCACATAAAATGGGTTGGTTTTACTGTGTGTACATTTCCTTCCAATTTTAAAAAGTGAGACCTAAGACTGTTTCAGCTACCGAGGGCCATCACCGTGTTCTGTTCCCACTCCTGCCTTCTCTTCTTTCTCGTGCTTCAGGCCTCCAGTGATCAGGAATCACACAATCAGCCCTTTAGAGGAAGTAAAATTGGGGTGGGGGCCTGAGCAACGGAGTCAACTGTAGTTTAATGTATAAAATTATAGTCATTCCATGACTCTAGGAAGCTGACAAAGCAGCTTGTAAATCAAATACTTCTTTTTTTTTGCAGTTTTTGGCCGAGGCTGGGTTTGAACGCACCACCTCCGGCATATGGGGACAGTGCCCTACTCCTTTGAGCAGCAGGCGCCACCCTGAATCAAATACTTTTGAAGAAAAACCAGTGATTGCTGCCACCCCTCATCAAAGGGGAACATTATGGAACCTGAATGTCCCTATATCAGGGAATCAACTCTGAACAGACAAAAACGACTCTCGGAGAAGGCTTGCAAATCCACGTGGTAAGGAGAAAAGCAGTTTCCGGGGCTGCTTTTCTGAGGCATCAAAGGCGTAGCTTGCCCACGGTGGTACAGCAGGCCTGGCTAGTCCACTGTGCCCCACTAAGCTCCTTCCACATTCAGAACCCTGGTCTCTACCTTGGAGCCAGTGGTGCCCTATATGGGCAAGGGGCTGGGGTCTTATAGGAATTAGCAAAGCTGCCCTGTGAAGCTGATTGCACCAACATAATCAGGCGTGCTCTTATGGAGTTAGGCCTCTGGATCAGCTGAGGTCCTTGCATTGGTCCAAGAGCCAAAGACACCCTCACCTTTGCATTAAATTGACCAAAAAATGACCACATCCTTCCTGTGGGACCATGGTGGAAAGGAGGGAGGGAAGGGAGGCCCTGGGTGGAGAGGGGGATGAGTGGCTCAGACTGCCTCCTGCTCCTGATCTTGGAAGATTTAGGTTTTAGCATCTACTCTCTAACTCTACAGTAAACAAACGTCATGCGCCCACTATATGCCAGGCTATGTGCGGGGCACTGGGGTTCAGGAATAAATACAGCCCTGCTGCTGACCTTAGGGGACTCAAAGTCTTGCAAAGCCACACTTTAATGGACCAACTGTCATGGTGCAATGTGACAAGTCTCTCTCACTCACACACACACTCGGCCAACCCTGCCTGGCAGCACCGAGGAGAGCTTCACAGATGGACAGACCATTCCTGAAGACACGAGCATCCCTAAGAGCTCCTCCCCTGCTCAACCCCAGTCTCCCACTCCCTGCCTGCGGGCTCTTTGTTCAGCAGTTCTGAGGCCTCCACTGAACCCCAGTTTGTGCCACAGCAGAATGTGTGGGCTCAGTTTCAGGACAGGGCTAGGGGCAGAAAATAGAACTCAACTTATGTTCAAGGGCAGCTGAAAGGCCTGTCCGTCTGACAGTGCTCCTTGGTTGTGCCAGCCAGAAGCCACCTCTCCCTCTTCTGGTCTCCTGGGGAACTCTATGGATTATTAATTAAAAATGTAACAGTTGAGCGCAGCCTCTGGACCTGGAGTGCCTGGCTTCAATCTCAGCTCTGCCGCTGTTAACTATGTGATCTCAGATAACTTACTTTTTCCTTGAGTAGCTTCAGTTTCCTTATCTGTGAAGTGGAGCTGAAGATGGCCCTGCCTTATGAGTCCCTATATGTTGGTTTTTGCTACCAGTGAGGATGACGCTGCCATCTGTTGAGCATTTACTGACATACCTCATTGTTGCCAAGCTACAGGCACCCTGGTGTCTGAGCAGAGGACCTGGCGGTAGTAGGTGGCCTGAGGGAGGACTTTGCTGCTTTCTGAATGGAAGGAATTTTCCCTCCTGCTCCAGCCATCCTCCTCCTGTGCCTGACTCACACATAACTTACATTTGACCCTGAATGTATATAAACCTTCCAAAGGATACAAACCATCTCCAAGATGCCAAGGGCTCCCCCAACTGCAGGCTGTTGACAGTGAATCCCACATCATCTCACACCCACACCATGACCCCAGACACCTGGCAGGTTCTGAGTCCTGCTCTCTGGTCTTGTATCCTCACCTGACTTTCTCCACAATCGTGGCTTTTGCTCCCTAACTCACCTCCACGTCCAGAAAGTCCATCTGCTCCCAGCCACAGCTGGTCTCTGCAGCAAACTTAGCGGCAAGAAGGATGCATTTTTTCCCTACCCTACACTCTACAGGACAAGGGCAAATAATGCAGCCCCAGGACCAAGACCTTCAGTGGTCCTTCACGGGCCTTTGACCCCTCCCTCCCTGGGACTCACCCTACACAGCTGTGCCCCCCACAGTGTAGCCACCAAACAGGGGTCATAGACTGTGAGTGGCTTGTGGCTGCCCTTGGTTTGGCCTAGCCCTGTGCATGACTGGTTTGGCTTTGGTTTTCAACAACTCAAATTTACTATTAACCTGAACACAACTCTGAAGGGTCAGGTAGGTCCTCAGCCATGACGAGCTTGGGCACAGACTGCAAAATCCACGATTCATCCTGATTTCCAGAATTACCTCAAGTGAGATGGAAAGCTGGGGAGGGAGAGGGGGACATGACAGCAGAGACCCAGAGGCCCAGCGTGCCCTCCATCCTGGGGTGTTCAGGCACCTAGCCTGTCTGTGGAACTACTTGCTCTCTAAGAGGCTGGGTATGACAGCTGAAGAATGACCCATCATTTCAATTTCCCCAAATTAAGCAGGCATATTGCTCCATAGGTACCCGGGCCTCCTGTATAAAACCAGGAGCTCTTCACAGCCTCGTCCTGAAACACCCTCCAAGCCTGGGGTTGCTGCTCCATAAAACCCCATGTTGAATCCAAGCCTGCCTGTCTTACCCAGGAACCTATTTTCTGGAATTCAAGAAGTGCTGCCAAAGACCCTACACCCTGTATCAAATAGCTCTGCCCGAGCCCTATATCCTGCACTCAGGACTAATTCACTAAGGCTAATATTAAAGTATCTCACCTTGGAAGAGAGGATGGCCCTTAGCGCAGTGCAATGATCAGATTGGAAAGCTCCCCAGGAGAGTAATGAGTTGAGAATCTCCTATAAGAACCTCCACTGATCTATTTACCGCCAGCACCTTTTAAGTCTTAACTTATTTATTCTCATTGCAGCATGGGGTCGATTGGAAAACGGCAATGGAAGGGGATCAGGGGACTGCTCTCATGTCACCTGGTGACAAGAGAAGGGCATAGCCTAAACTAGCGGCTGATTGTGGAGAGGAGAAAATCACTAGAGAAAAAGAAATTTCCAGATTCCCAGAGTGTGGCTGCTTCTACAAGCATTTTTGAGGTAATCCTGCCATCTAGTGGCAGAATAGACAGTACTTACCGTCCAGGCAAGTACTGGATGCGCCTTGAGTAGGGGAGATGTGAGAGATCCAGCAGGTAGGTTGCTATTTTTTACTCCAACCATAAATTCTAAAAGACAGGTACTTCCCACTGCCATGGTCACTGGAACATCCCCAAATTTCCACACTCCACTGTGTTCTGGTTATAGTCTGGGTTGAAATCCCAATACTGCACATTAGTGCTGAAAAGCTTTGGGCAAGTTAATTAACTTCATTTGTCTCTCTGTGAAATGGAGAAAATAATCAAGCCAAGTGTCTTCAGTGAGCGTCAAATGAAGCAATTCATGTGAGAGGTCTGGCACATCATAAGCGCCTAACCCAGGTTAGCTGCTGTTACCATGTTTCCCTGAAAATAAGACACTGATATTTAGTTTTTCTCAAGAAGACACACTAGGGCTTATTTTCAGGGGATGTCTTATTTTTATTAAGTATAGTACAACAATCTACATTTATTCAAATCTTCTTCTGGAATCTGACAGGGGGAGCTGACCTTGTTGGTGCGGCTGGCGCTAGTGATGCGTGTACTCCTTTCCCCTAGCCGTTCGCACGTAAGCAATAGGATGCCTGCGACCCGGTTACCACATGCACACCCGGGCAAGTGCTAACAGCTCGGAGAAAGGAGAAAGGAGCCGAGGCAGAGGTATTCCAGTCTTCCTTACTGCTCCGTGCCAAAATGTATGGCCCATCACTAGGTCTTATTATCAGGGTAGGGCTTATATTTAACAAATGCATAGAAATCCTGTTAGGGCTTATTTGGGGGGTAGGTCTTATTTTCGGGGAAACACAGTAAAGTGAGAGGAGGTAGCAAGAGCTGAGATATGAGAGGGTAGGAAAAGACTGCACAAATTAATCAGTGACATTTAATGAACCCCCACAGAATAGTTCTTAGGAAATTTGTTTTTAACTTGTTTTCCCTAGCCTTTGTCTTACGTGAATGAATCATTTTTTTCCACTCAAAATTATTAGTGGTTCTCCCTGCCTCCCTCAGTAATCTAGACTGGCCAGGCATGGAGGGCTCTGCAGTGTCCCCCCCTTCCCTCCTGGCCTGGGTTCCCAGGCTGGGGTTACTCTTCTCCCATCCTCTCCCCATCTTCCCAAACAAGCCCTTCCTTGCCCAAACATGGAGGTTTTTTAACTTCCCACCTGAAATCACCCTGTCCCATTCCTCTAGCCATCAGTGATGAACAGGGGTCAGCATAGGTTTACAAGTCGAGAAGTAACTTGCTTACTCTGATGTTGAATTCTTGTAAAGAACATCTCCTAATTTTGAAGCATATTTGCAAAACCAACAAAGTCAGCCTTGCTCTGCCTTCATTGCTCATTTGCTGCCAGCTGGATGTTCTTTTAAAAGATTAATTTTTAATCTTAAATGTCTGTTTTGCCCTTGAACTGTCAGAGTGACCTGCTCTTTGCTGCTGCATCTGGCCTTGGGGCAGGCTTTGAGTGGCTGCTTCTAGACACGCTTTTCCTTGTGGACTGGAAGACATTGGAGTCAGCTTTGTTGTCATCTGTGTTCTGTGCGCTTGGAACTGGGAAAGGAGACGAAACCACAGGTAGGGTGGAAACAGAGGCTGAAGGCTGTGGGAGGCGTTGTGGAAAACAACTGTGAATTTACAAGGCGATGGCATCAGTGGAGAGGGAGGATACTGGGGGACTGGTGAAGGAAGCTTGTCTCAAAGAGACAAGGAAGGTCTGGGGACGTCGGGTCTTAGAACCACGCGATGGAGTCTTTGTGGGTGTCCACAGGAGGAAAAATGGTACAAAATATGTTTACTTGAGAGGTGATGCAAATGTAAGAGGTGCAGTCCTCGCCCTCAGGGATATGGTTAGGATGATGACTACGTCTTCCTGGCCACAGGCAGAAGCCAACAGTGACAGGACGATACCCCTAAAAAGCAAAGAAGTTAACATTTCTCCACCTGATGGATTGGTTTAGTTTCTCTGAGGAAGTGCTTGTTTGGAACTAGGTACATGTTGCCACTAGTGAAAGGCCTCCGGAGATTGTGATTGGGTCGAGTTGAATCCACAGGTCAGTTTTGGAAGAAGGCCCAAGAGCACTGATCAGGACAGGGTGGTGTTGGCATCAAGATAGGCAGTGGGTCGGTGGACAACATAGAGATCAAAGGGGAAATGGCTCTTTGTGTGCCGGCTTCTAGGAGGAAGCACAATTCCCCAGACCGCCACTCTTAACCAATAGGGTGTTCTTCGTTGTGTGAGACCCTCTGAGACTCCCATGGTCCCTGTGAGATAGCATCGTCCTAATTGTATAACTAGATGACAACTGGAGCTTGTCTGGGATAGGTGGAGTAGGACACCCTCTAGGGGACACCATTTGAGAGGCCATAGGAATACTGACACATTCACAGGCAAGTCTCCCCTGAAAAGACCTCCGGTTGTATGCTGAATCGTATCAGCCAGCAGACCATGAGCTATGGAAGTCTGCCTCCTCCTTTGTAAGGTGAATGGGGAATTGAGATTGACATGAAAAAGATTTTATTTTATTATTATTATTATTTTATTTTTTTACACATGCGTGTGTTTATTAGGGTTCCACTTTTTGCCTTCACAAAATTAAAAAGGCTTAAAATTTAATAACAATAGCAATGTTTAAGATAAGGACTAGAAACAAAAACCTCATAAAGAATGAATGAAGAGGCTCGGC